AAGCCTCTAGTTTACCAAGTTAATTCCTCACAGGGGGGAAGAAAAGAACTGTATGAAATAAGAAGCAGAAGGTGCATAATTTACTACCAAGAAATTCAGTGTTGACTCTTAGTTTTCCGTCTGTAACTGTCATTTTGGTCAGTTCCTTCACCTTCACTAGCTATAAGCTTACCAAACAGTAAACAAATCCAAAGCCAGCTGGCAGAGTGACAGAACTGTCTCTTGCTCAAGTTAGCATAGGCAATTCTGTTGGGGATCCCTGCTGTGAAGTCATAGTCTCTCCATGTCCGGGTGGCCCACGGGCTCGGTTTCATATGCAGATGACTCCTTTCAGCAGAGTACCTGGCATCTTCCTAACTCTCATTTAAAGTAGCCTCCATAGAGACCAAGGCCTATGGCTCTGGGAATACCATGCTTTCCTGTGTGATTTTTCAAGCAGTCTGACAGTCTAGCAGCCTGGCGGGGGCCCATTTCCACACGCAAATGAGGCATCCCCAAAATACCTATCAGCTAAAGCTTTTACCACTACCCCCATGGTATAAAATATCCCAGTCTTCTCTCAATGATAGAGAGCTGGATCACTAGGAGCTAGGAGCTGAACACTTAATAAAGCTCTAACACGGACTAAGCAGAGTCCTGCGGTCTTACTACTGATCCAGCCTCTCCGGGGGCAGCATTCCTCCGTCACCGACTCAAGAAGCCCCAGCTTCAGCCACCTCTCGCTCTCCCGCGTGATCCAGTGGCCAGTGGATCTCGCAACAAGAGGAAAGCGCACGGGGGAAAATTAAGGCGGTACCGACGGACACACTTCGGTAGCAGAGACCCACACAGACACGGAGACGCGGCACGGGACTGCGCACACCATACAATTCATTATATTTTTATTCTCATTTATGCTTCCATTATCCCTCTAATATAGGCTTTTCTGTACTTCAGCATTACTGGTATTTTGGATCAAATAATTCTTTGGAGAAGGCAGGGCTGTCTTATGCAGTGTAAGACATTTAACAGCAAAACCTCAACCTCTACCAACAGATACAAGTAATACTCCCTCTAGTATCTGTGAAGACCAAAAATGTATGCAGACATTGACAAGTATCTGCTAGATGGCCAAATCTATCCAAGTTGGGAGCCCCTGCTTGATACTCAGTGACAGGCACAACTCCAGTTGCTGGGTACTCCAATGAACAGCAAACATAGGATGCCCGTCTCCACAGACCTTGCATTCTGATCTTACAGCAGGGCTGATGATTCATCCTAATCCTCATCTAAACAGTCACTAGCAATGGCAATGCAGATACTAAGGACAAGTGTTGAGCCTTAGTTTTACCTCAACTAAAGGTAACAACAATGCATACAATAATTTTTAAAGCTAAAAATAAATCTACCATATAATCCAGTTTTACCACTCCTTGGCATTATACCCAAAGGGCTTGATATTCTACTAGAGAGAAACTTTTACCCATGTTTGTTGTTCCTCTTTGGACAATAGCTAGTAAATGACACGACCTAATGTCCCTCAACTGATCATTGGATAATGAAAATGTGGTACATTTACACAACAGAATTCTACTCAGAGGTAAAGAAAAACAAAATCAGTAAATTTACAGGTAAAAGGATGGAACTAGAAACTGTTACACTAAGTGAAGTCACACAGACTCAGAAAAATAAACGACATATGTTCTCTCTCATTTGTGGATCTTAGCTTCAAATCCTTAGATGTGAGTGTATATCCTGATGTAACCACAGGAGCCAGGAAAATGGAAAGGAACCATGGGGATAAAGGGGAAGAAGGAACTCAAGAGAGGGGATAAAAGGAGAGAGGTGTTATCATGGGGGCAATGGGGAAAATGGGCGGTACATTAACTGGGGAGGGAATGGGGAAGGCTATACAGTGGGAGGGAGAAAAGTGATAAATAACACTTAGGTGATGTGAAAAACCAGACATACTCGTGTGTGTGTGTGTGTGTGTGTGTGTGTGTGTGTGTGTGTGTGTGTGTGGTGTATTTATAAGTGCATATGTATAGCTGAAAGCTACATAACAAAAAACACAGTGCCAGGCAGAGGAAACTCCCTTTGAGTTGCTGGTCATGGTAGTCCAAGAGATTCCCAAATAACACAAGCTAGTACCACAGCCCTTGATTGCCTCCCAGAACTTGAAGGTAAGACACGACATACTTCAGACACAGGACTGGAGCAGTCAAGCTGAAACTATCTGGAAGTCTCTTCCCTGAAGACTAGCTCTTATTTATCTGAAGGTACTATGCAAACTGCCAAGAAATAAAAATAATCAATGATCCCACCCAGCTTTAAAGTCTACGAACCACACAATAACTGGCTCAACAAATTATCTTTACTGGTGCAGTAGTGGCACTTTTATCTATGGGGTAATCAACAACTGTCTAGTTGAACTTAATGCTTGCTCACGGGGAGGGAACTTAGGTGTGGTACTGTAAACACAGTCAAATACACATAGCTGAAGAGGTCATAGATCTTAGAGAAAAACCTACTTTTGTCACACCAATTGTGTTGCGACCAACACAATTTTTTTATTGTGCTCTAAATGTGTACCCTTATATTTATAGACAGGTATACCTCTCACCACTCATCAGAAGAGCTTCTTTTTTGCAAAAGAATGGAGACTATTAGAAAGTTCCACAACTGATCAAATATAGAAAATATGGGTCTGTGAGGTGCCCAGTTGTAAGTGACACATCTACAATGCAACCCCTACATCTAAGGCCCAGAGAACAGGGAGGTGGAAAGAACATTAATGTCTCTCAACTCTCACCAGAGAAGTTTCTTCATGTAACAGATGGTGATTAATCGGGAAGCCTCAATTGGCAAAGTGCAGCGAATAAGAGACTATCAAGTGCTTATCCCTGAAAAGGACACTGATATTAAGCCTCTGCCCCCCAAGGCTCAGGGATCATTGCAGAAGAGGGGGTGGAAATATTACAAGAGTCAGAGGTAGTAGATGACCATAAGAAAACAGTTTTCCAGAAAGCCGGAAGTTACTCATATGAACTTACAACCACGGTAACAGCATGATGCACAAGACCCATGCAGGCTCAAGACAGACAAAAATTTCACCACAGAAGAGGGGAAGCAGGTAAGAAGCCCCAACCTTAGCTGAAGAACTATTGGTAATCAATAACTGCTGGGGGGTAGAGGGTGTTCTTGATAAAACCAGGCTCCAGTGGATGGGCACATATCAAAGGACGTCTGGGGACACAAACTTGACTCAATGGGCCTTAATATATGTGACAGAGTACATAAAATATGGCAGGGGGTTAAAAAAGGGATTGATATAGAAGTGGAGGTTTAAATATGGTCAAAAAATGAAATTGGTAAAAATTCAATAAAAAATCATCAAAAATAACATGTCAGTAGTCATGAAATATGTCTTTAAGTGAAATGCTCAAAATTTGGTAATGCACACCTAAGCCCAAAAGTAGGACATGCAGATAACCCAGGTGACCTGACACAAGAGGAAGAAAATGGCACAACTCTGATAAAGACTGAAATAGGACCGAGCCTAACAAAGGGTTAGAGTTAACCATTCTGCGGGAAATACAAAGGTTAGAGAAACATGCTAGACAACACAACAGACATAATCAGCCATATGCAAAATATACAGATTCTATGTAAAGGCCAACTTAGGTTCTAATAAATGTCAGTGGTAGGAGGGAGGAAAAGATTTAAACATTAAATGAGACTTACTAAAGCATGCCAACTGTATGAAATGTCAATTATCACATAAATTCTGTGAGCATGGGTTAAAGAGACCTGGATGACATCAGTTTTGTTGAGCATAATAGCTATATACTTTTTTTGAAAGCCTCTATCTATTTAAATGCATATATATTTATCAATAGAGAAATATGATGTTTGGAGAAGGCTTTTAAGTATCAAAACAAAAAAAACATGGCAGGCAGAGTGAAGGGTGGACAAAGAAGGCAGGATGCTGGTACCTCAAGCAACACGACAAGGATCATGAGGACTCTGTGCACTCCCCTCTCTGCTCCCACATATGCGAAATTTCTCGTCATTTTTAAAAATACAAAGTGAAACATGGATTCTGATATATTCCTGGGAACCAATGTAATTTTTACATGACATATCGTCCTAAAATAAACTCATTTGGGCAAGATTAGGGTTTTCGGTATATAAAAATCTAAGCCCCAAAGAACCACAGGATGAGGTAACTATAATTCCAGTTGCAATTACTTTCCCACTCTTTGACTTGGTTCTTTTTCGTACATTCTATACTTGCTCTTAAATTTGTTTTTTTTTGTTGTTTTGTTTTGGTTTTTTTTTTGTCTTTTGGGACAGGGTCTCCCTGCAGCCCTAGCTGACCTGGAACCCACTATGTAGACCACACTGACCTTGAACTCACAGAGATCTGCCTACCTCTGCCTCCCAAGTGCTGGGATTAAAGGTGTGCACCACCACACCCGGCAAGCTTTTTTCTTTTCAATCAGCAAACTCCTTTAGTAAATGGTAGTAACTAATCAAAATGCTGAACCCTTTTTAATTCCAGCGCTACATTTTTTTCTATAATACATAGAAAATTTTAATTTCTTAAAACCCCACCAAGTAAACTATTCAAATAGTTTTGTTATCATATAATTTTATATGATAATGCCATTTGTTATATTTGTTATACAATTCTGCTCAAAATAAAGTCTTCATTTTAGGGTAAAACATAAATTAAAGATCCAATGAATTCAATTCATCCTTATTGTTTCATAGTTTTTAATCCAAAAATTCACATCTATTTCAAGATTCAAGGCCATTCTAACTCCACCCTTACTTGACAATGGCGATCATCTACTACTCGCCTTGGTTTCTGGAACCTTCTCAGAAAGTCTATGATCCCTCACAGACTTTCTCCTTGTCAGTAAAGTTCAACTTAACTACTGGCATTTCTCCACAGAGTAGACATCTGTCTTATATCCCATACCCACTCCTCTGTCCTGTCACGGGCAGGAGCTCACCTCAAATACTGTTTCAGGGCACTTGTTATTGTCTTCACTTCCCAATCTACAGAATTCTCCAGGTCCAGCTCATTGCATGTTTTTACATCTAGTGAACAAGCAAGAAAGAAAAATTAGTTAAAACCTTGGCCATTCAAGGGACCTCCTGATTAGCTAAAAAAAAAGCTTCCATTTTTAAGTGGCCAAACGACAAATAATCCTGGAGCATTATATTCAACATTTTTAGCATAGCATGAGCTACACTCTATTACTAGATATTTCTAGCACTTCAGAAAGTCAATGGGAGAGATGAAAGCAAAAGGATGTAAGATGTGGACTAGGGGTAAGAAGAAGGCATGGTGCGGCACTTCAACATCTGTGAGCACAGCTCCTGTAAAGCTAACGTCACATTCACCATTAAAGGTGTTACTCAATAGCCACAGTTTAGAGTATGTGGCATTTTTGGTTGAATGACTATGAGTAATCTCAGGTGGCGCTACTGCTGTCCAGTGTTATTACATGGAAAACAATGGAAAATGCAAAACGATGAGCAGAATGGCAACATGTTGGGGGAGAAGTAACTGGTTTTGGTCCCACATTCCAACATTTGTATTCATGACATTACTTTCTGAAGATTCACGATGAACTCAAAGCAGAAATATGACAATATACTCAAATGCTACTTATGGTTTAATTTAATATTATTATACAGTGTAAATAGGCATCAGAACATCATGTTACCCGTTTTATTTCTTTGTATCAGTAATAAATAGTTAAAATTAAGAAATGAAAGTACAAAACAAAATCTGTTTAAGGGAAAGGATCATTTATGGGTACTTACTCATTCCAACACTATAATCTATATATCCAGCCACAACACTGGACACCTCATTATGACACCTCTGGCATTCACAAAACTAAAGTAGCTTTCTTTGTCCTAAAAGTGTGAAACTGGTATGTTCCTTCCAAATGCTTTTTTTTTTTAAACAGGTAGTAAATTCTAAAGAGTTCTTTAAAAGAATTCTTTGAAATTCTTCTAAAGAAAAAGCATGGAGTACAAGAGAGAAAGCAAAGCAAAAAGTAAATCTCAGTTGAAATAAAATGGCAGCACAGTGGGAAAGGCAAACACTCTACAGCACGGCTGACAGCCAGGGGGGCTACAACGCCTGCACCAGCCTGGGACGGCAAGCCACTCCAAGCAAGGGAGTCCCAAATCCATCATCTACATCATGGAGACCACAGCATGGAAAATGTTCCTATAAAACTCGTATAAGCATCAGAACGAATCAAGAGCATGGGGGCTGGAGAAATGGCTCAGCAGTTAAGAGCACTTGCTGTTCTTCTACAGGACCGGGGGTTTGGTCCCCAATACCCACATGGTAGCTAACAACTATCCATAACTGCAGTTCCAGGGGATCTGACTCCTTCTTCTGGCTTCTGCAGGCACAGTGTGGACAGGGTATATATGTGGAACACTTACATACATGCAGGCAAAACATTCCTACACATACAATAAAACAAATAAAATTTAAAAACAAAAGCAGCATGGACAGAATCCATGAATTATTAAACACAGCAGGTGACTGCCACTGCCAAGTCACCAGAAGCAAGGATGTTCAGCATTGGTACTCTCCCAAAGGAAGGAGGCAAAAAAAGTTATAAAGAAGAGTGTCAAGTCATCACTATAAACTTGCCTGGCTTTCTATACTACAGTGAGGAGGAGAAATTAAGTAACTTACGGAACAGACTCTTTCTCCCTCAAGAATAATGCCTCAACTAAAACCAAAAAACTTGTTTGTTTCCAGATTTTTCTCCTCCCTTACAAGGAAGAAACTATATTGTTATCCTTTTTGAAAGCACCAAAAGGAAAAGGCTGTCAAAATGGAGCCACCACATTAAGTCATGCACACTGCCTAAAAAAATTTTAGACTTGGCCATGATTAAGGATGGACTCAAACTTTCTGAAAATAAAATGGGAAGTGATGGTTATCTTACAGTCGGAACATCATACACATGAAGTCAATTACTCAGGGGTCTGGAGACTTTTTAGGCACTCCAGCATTTCTTGATTACAGCAACTGACAGCAATATGCAATAAACTACAACAATGGCAACTGACACTGATTACATTTTGATCAGTGCTTACAATTCAGAATTCATTTGTTACTGAGCTTGTCAGACAAGCCACAGATACATTCAAGGAATCAAATTAAGCACCCTGATTAAAGATGCCTTTATAACTAGGACTAAATAATTCTGTTCTAAGAGCTTTGCCAACCAATTATTTCTATAACTGAATATTCTGTCTCTCATTAAATCAATTATTTGAATCTCATTTTAACATACAAGTCAGATAACATTTTCAATCAACTTGCTACCAGCATTTTAAAATCCTACCATTTTAAAATCCCAGTGGCTTCTAAAGGAACTCTTTTATTTCCAACTTTTAACCAAATTATTGTTATATATTTTGAGATTCATATTCTTCCTGTGGAAAAATACGCCACCCTTCTAAATTCATGAGATGAAAGCAGCTGTCACATCAGAAGCTAATGACTATATGTCTATGTTATTAATCATCTATTAAGTTTTCACTGTTTTCAAATAACTCAATCATCCCTGGCAGTCCTTTGCAATCAGTGCATACACTGGGGCTAGGTAAAATTTGTTAATAATTTATTTAGGATTCACACCTAAAAATATGTTTGGGTATTTATTCAGAATACATGTTCTACCATAAGTGAGTGGAAAACTGTTTCCTTTCTGACCAAAGAACAACAGAACTCGTGATTAGTTACAAATGTAAGCTAACAAGCACAGAGCCAAAGAGCTAGCTTTTTATTACTGTATGAATGCTTCCTTCTTGCATAACCACTGGTCATTTGTTTGCAAGTGGAAATTTGCACCCTACCCTCACTGCAAAGTGCCATTTATGCAGGAGTTGGCACCCTACTCAACATGGACATGGGCCGATTTTAAACTTCAAGAAGCACAAAGAGCACATGTGCTTCGTAAATATGCTTTATCCCCCAAAGCAGTTTTCCGGCTATTAAGCTCATTTGCCCCCAATCTATGTGATAAAACTGTCCTAAAGAAAAGGAAATATTGTAAATTAAACTTTTTTTTTGTTTTTTGGGTTTTCTATGGATCTATATCTGAAAGCAAAAATTCATCCAGCCTTGTTTATAAATTAAATTTAGAAATAACAAGAAAATCTACCAGGTCACATATATTGTGACCACATCCTCCCAGAATCTCTCCCACTCTGCTCTGCTTTAATTTTAATGTGGAAAGAAGAAAGACTAATGGGAAATTCCAAATCACACCAGTTCTAGCCACCCCTAACTATTTTAACTTGTCTTTACATTCTCATCCTGGAGAATTCCCCAGGACACTTCCTCTGGAATTTCTCACTGCTTTCCTCATCAGCTAGCTACATGATTTTATTATTTTTTTAAAAAGAAAAAAGAAGAACCCCTTTCTACCAGATTGTGTGTGCTCTGACCTAAAGATGGCCAAGGGGCAGGAAAGGAAAATGGCTTCTACACAAAGGAAAGCAATCTCTCCATTGGGAACTTCAAAGGCCTGGTCCTGGTCCAGTGGTAAAGCTCAGGGAAAGCTGGCAACTCAGCAGACACCACCTGCTGTTCCCAGGGCAAGGGACAAGGAAGATGCAAACAACCCTCAACCCCAGAAGGAAAGCCGCAGCCTTCTCCTTCACCTGACCTAAGGAGTACATGGTCCAAGAAATTGCTACGGTCAGCTGTCATTTCCTGTTGGCAGGAGAGAGAGGAGGAATGCTGCAAAGAGAACAACTGGGAAGGGGGGATGAGGAAGAGGCTGGGGGGAGAGGGCCTGACATTTTAATCTTACACCTGAAAAACACCCCAGAAAGGGAAAAAGTGAGGAGAATATGCAAGAAGTGAAGTATCTGCTCATGTTTTACGAATTACCACAAATTTCCATTTGTGTATTTAAAAATATATATTCTGATTAGTTTTTGTCGACTTGCCAGAAACAGAAACACCTGCAAAAAGTAACCTCAGTAGAGGAACTTCCTCTATCAGTCAGCCCGTGGCCATGTCTAGGAGGCATTTTCTTAATTGCTAACTGATGCAGGACAGGGCACGGGGGGCGGGGGGGGGCTGCATAAGAAAAGCAACTGAGCAAGCCAGGGGAAACAAGCCAATCAGCAAGCAGTGTTCCTCCATGGTCTCTGCTTCAGTTCCTGCCTCCAGGTTCCTGCCTGACTTCCTTCAATATTGGACTATGACCTAGTAGTTATAAGTTGAAATAAACCCTCTCCTCCCCAAGTTGATTTTGGTCAGAGTGTTTTATCTCAGCAACAGAAAGTAACTAGGACAAGCACTAAAACATTTTAAATGGAGAACGTAAAACATTTTAAGGAAAGATGAGTCTTTTTTGTTTTTTAATCTTAAGTAAACAGGTCTCAAGAACTAAACAGATTCAAGGAAACACACAAAATGCTTGGAATTTTTTCCCAAGACACTTAAAATTAAATTATTTTCATTTTTATAAAGGAAATTGCATTTCCAATAAAATGTGATAAGAATAGGAGGTAGGAATTGGCTAGGCAGTTAAGGTAAAAAGACCCCAAAGAAATGTAGCCACTTTCTGGATAAAAGTCAAAATGTCCTTGGGCTTGTTAACAACGCACTCTGTTCCAAAGGCAAAAAATGTCAAAATGTCAAAAGTGTTTGGGAGCTTGTACCTAATCCTTAAAATATTTTACAGTTACCTCTTCAGAGGGGGGAATGTTGGAGTGGAGGGAATGAGCATGGATTTGATCAAAACATCTTATATGCATGTATGAAATTCTCAATAAGGTTTTTGTAAAAGTTAAAAAAAAAAGAAAATTTTCAAATTTGATGTGAATATATTACTTTCAAGAATAGCAGAAGACACTGATTGGTTTTAAAAAGCAAGTTAACCATTTGGCAGGCTCATATTACACCTTTATATGAAGAGAAAATTAGAACAGCTGTTGGACTGTGTATACATGATTACTTAAATTCTAAAACTTTTTTAAAAATAGTATTAAATTATTTCATTTTGAATGCTTAATCAGGATGAAAAGAAATCTTAAGG